TGTATTTAATGAAGAAAAAGGAAAACCACTTGAATATGTTGGTTTTATTAGTAAGACTTGATTGTGCAAAAGTTACTTACAATATATGTGTTTGTTTGTGTTATTAAACCAAAGTCATGTAGTTCAGAAGATAAATGCCCAAAGGGAAAAATAAAATGTTGTCAATCAGTTCCAGCCATGTCAACAAATGTCCCGGCTTTTCATCATTGCAGAGCCTTTTTCAGTTTTCCTCTGCAACTCTTTCAAAATGATAAGACAGAAGTAAAGTGCACTGGCAAGCCTCCATTATATCTGAAAATGGTGACCGGCGGAGCTTTAACAGCATGACACAGAGTAGTCTGTACATGGGTCGTCAGGTTGTCTAGGGTTAAGCCTGAGAGCGTGTCTGGCAGTCGAATTATTCATGGTTTGTTACCAACTTCTGTTTGGCTTGTAGACTTATTGAAGTGTTTTTCTGCTTTGGGCAACAGTCTTTGCACGACCAGAGCAATACAAGCACTTTCCTTCCAAGATAATTTGATGTCATCTGCCTGCAGCAACTTGTTTAAGGTGCCTTTTATTGGCTTGTGGTGAGCGTGCACCTGCTCCACACGGGAAAAGCAGAAGCTGTGGTGCTGAAAGCAGCTCGCAGCGGTTTTCATTAATGTGTGGGGAAATTTCAGAAGGAGGAAACAAGGATGTGATTTGGGTTCATATATAGATAACGCTGAGATTGATCCCTTTGTTTAACCCCATTAGTCATAAAGTTACCAAAAATAATGTTTTTACACAAAACTTTCTCAGACCTCCCAAGATTCGGTCGAAGGCAGAAGAAGGACACCGTCTGCTGGTCAGGACGAAGAAGGGTTCAGTAGAGAGAATAGAATAGAATATTGATCCCAAAGAGGAAATGTATTTCTAGTTTAAAAGTTCCAAACAGTACAGCCACCATATACATGCAAAGCACAACAAACCACAATCTGAGTAACGCTAAACATCAGTATAACTGTTATGCTGCACTCAGTGACCTCGTTAGTACAGACTGCTGCACAGATCACTGAACAAGACACAGAGAAGCTCTTTATCTTCTAACAGAAGGTAACCGTTCATATTGCGAGTACAGGGTCGCACAGAGTAACCCTCGTTGTAACACTTGCTGTTAATAAAGAGTCAGGACTGTGATGGGCTTCGTGGCTGTGATTTTCATGGCTGTCTGCAACCTTAATCTCACTGTTACAGAGAGATCTCTAAACCGTGCTGTTATTCCATATCTGATTACACAGAAGTGTCATTTCTTTATTTAACATTTATTTAACCAGGAAGTCCTTTGAGGTCAACGTCTCTTTGTCAAGGAAAACTTCCCCAAGACCTCACACCATTACAGTGTTACAAGTTTAAAATTAAATATCTGCATTTAAAGTAAATAATAAATAAATAAATAAATAAGCAAAAACAGGAGAACTCAAAGTAAAAGCAAAGCATCTACAGGTCTCCAGCTGAGCAGCACCACCTGAATGTGCCATAGGACCCCAGAGCAAGACGAGCAACAATAGTGATCTAAGAAAAAACAGGCTCGCCAAATCTAGTCAATACAGTTTCAGTCATAATACAAATTACAGAAAATCCTTAATATCACAGTGGCTGACACGGCCGTCTTCTAAGAATATGGAATACAATGCAAATGTATTACATATATGTATCATATGTTTGTTTTCATCAGAAAAGCTTGTGACAGGAGCAGAGGACAGGAAGGTGTCAGCATGTGGGGAGGAGCTACAATAACAAGGCGTTCATTATAATCATTACCAAGAGAGGACGAGCGGCGAGTGTGGTGGACAAAGATGGGTTTGCTCTTGGGAAGGACACGTGGGGACGGTGGGATGTTTTAAAGGCCAAAACTAAGATTTGTCCTTTTTCATGCTTTTTAGGTTAAAAGTGTTTCTGGTGTTTCACACAATCAAAGCGGTGACATTTTGCATGTTCATCACTTTAAGTTAAGGTTCTAGGCTGGTTACAGCTGTACGAGAAGGTTGATCAGAGATCAGTGGTAGCTTGGATAGCTTGGTGTCTCTATAGGCTGGCTACAACACACAGAGACAGAAACCTGCTGGGGTTTTATTTGTTTGTGTTAAAATGTTGAAATATTAGAATTCCCTCACCAAAACAGTGGGACGGTCTTCTCAGAGAGGCTTTTAGTGAAGCTGACCTCAGAGTAAGGCTCCGACACAGTTGAGGTCAGGTTCAGTAACTTGAATTAGTTGAGGTGAAGCCTAGCAGACGACTGCCTGCTGCTGCCTCCTCTGTGATTATGATCTGTCAGCAGAAGCAGCCACTACCTAATGGCAAAATTAGCTTTAGGGACCAACCTATTAACGTGTTCATCTCTTCTGTAAAGTTGGACATTTTAAAATGGGAGGCTTTGGGAACTAACTCATCTGTGGAAATCTGTGGAAATAGCCACAAGGACCTGATGTATTTGGCACTTTTTGGTTTAATTTGCTTGCTTTCAGCAGATTTAATCCATCAGTCCTTCCATTTGCTTTTATTTATCCAGGGCCGGGGCACAGGGCAACAACCTAAGCAGAGATGCCCAGACCTCCTTCCTCTCAGACACTTCCTCAGGCTTATCCAGGGGAGCACCAATATAATAAAACTCCAAAATCTAATCATCATAAGGATTACTATAAGCAGATATCATTAATGTGCACCGCAGCGAGGCAGTGGTCCTTAATTCGAGCCTTCCCTGGTTTAGGCTCCAGCACCCTGGCAACCATGGCTTTAAAAGATGATTTGAATAGCGTCCGACTGATAGCTGACCTTATGTTAAATTGGAGAAAAATCTATTTTGGAGAAACAAAATGCGCTCTTGTGTGTTCAGTATTTGGTGTCTTAATTAGGTTATTTTAATAGTATTGCACAGATAAATTGGTGCATCCAAGTTTCCCCAGCAAATAACTGTATTTACAGCAGCGGGAGGGTCTGTGTGGGAATGACTAAAAACAATGTTCCTGGTAATGAAGGGATGTGTCATATGGCTCAGTGGTGTGGTTTTAAAAGTAGACGACAGCTCTTTGGTACAGGGGGGAAAAGTTACAAAAAAATGTTTATTTCACAGAGTTTTGGATAGTAAAAATAAATAATATTAGCAGCTGAAGCTTTTTAAGTCAGATTTGATCTTGGGTATGTATTTGTACTAGTTAGTGGATTTCCCTCCTCCCTCTCCTTCATCTTTTCTCCTTCATCACCAAACTTGTCTTCTTACTTTCTTAACGGTGACTCACAAAGCTGCACCACACTGTGTATCGGTCTCTGTTTCAAACATAGTCATTAACTGTTTTCGTTGTTCCTGCCATCACAGGACGCACAGATAGTCACATTTTTTTAATTGCTCATTTGTGCCAGTTATTGTTGGCTATTGTCCATCGTTGCACCCCAGGATTAAAACAAAGGGAAACCCTGTGCAGTATGTTAACAATTCAGCTGTTATGCAAGCATGAGGGTTTACTTTTCTTAGGACACGAAACACTGAGAATCGTTACACAATCGCAATGCACCCATTTTAGTATCCACCTCTGTCCTTACCTGTTAGATAAATGTTTGGGTTTTTTAATAATTTGTAATGACTAACAAGAAAGCCTGCACTTCTTTCTTCTGCCCCCTCATTTTCTCTCGATTAAACTCAATATTTTCACCTCCTCAGTTTATCAGCCACGTCGTGACTCCCAGCACAGCAGAGGACTCTGTCCCTCTCCCAGTTTCAAGTTGCTTTATTGCCTTTCCATGTAAATACATCTCTGGTGCCAAAGCATATGAAGGAAGATAGAGGGGAAAAAATTAAAAATAAGCATTGGGGATGCCTGTACTGGCTGACTGGCCAGCGATCACAGGCTGGTTTGATTCCTGGCTCTTCCCGTCCAGATGTCTTCCTGTATTTAACTAAGATGCAGAGCACCAAAGAGCTCTGCTGAACACTAACAGTTTTATTTTGTAAGTTCTACTCTTGGTTGGTTCGGTAATACCTAATAACAGAATGATCCTCCAGAACGCACTGTAGTCCACAGCAGGGGTGGAACATATGTCTTGAGTAGCTGTCTGATATGCAAAAGAAGAGAAATAACAGATGCGTTTGTTTAAAAGTGCAGCCAAACAAACTCACCTGTGAGAATTTAATGTGAAACTTTCTCCGAACAAAGTTCAAAAATCTCCGGAAACAGGAAAATGAAAATGTGCATTTTCACCATCCTGTGAATTCTGCCTCACGCTGCATGCGTTGCTCCCTGAGTGGTAACTACACATTGCAAATAAGTTTACTCAGTCATATCTGATGATCTGTAAATTCCCTTTTATGCTCAACAGGTGAAAAACTCTGCCTCTAGTTCTGATTCTGCTGAAGAATCTCAAAGGATGATCACAAACAAGTTCTGCGTGTACTCTCAGGCTGCACAGGAAGTCTTATATTTATGTACTTATACTGCTTATACTGTACGTCTCAAGCATTTTCAACAAGAGAGGAGAAAGTCCCTGAATGGTTGTTGCTGTGGTTGCTGTGGCTCATTAGGTAGAGCAACGTGAGTGGTATGATCCCTGGCTCCTGCAGTACAGGAGCGACATATGGATCATCCATGAATATGTGAATGAATAAAGTGGTTTTTAAAAATGGTAAAATGTTTTTATTAAAAAGCCTAATATAAATGCCAATCTATTTTTGTATCCAAGTTTTTCCCTGGATTCAGCAGAGGTCATAAAGTGCAAAGTACCAGAAAGTGCCAAACCCGCTTTCCAACTTGCAAATATATTCATGCAGCTCAGTTTGTATTTTGCATAGAAAAAAGCACATCTCCTTTTTGACACTTTTGTGAGACGCATCATTCTTTTATCTCCACATCTCTTCTTTTTCTGCTTTCAAATTCTGTATACAGTATGTTCAGTAGAGACACACAGACTGAGGACATTCATGTCTGTCTTCCTCACTGTTTGACAGAAGTACAAGAATCTGAGTTTCTCCTTCTTTTTCCCAACAGAAAGAACGTTTTGTGAAGCTCCTGGATCAGCTGCACAACTCCCTGCGTATCGATCTCTCCATGTACAGAGTGAGTCAGAGCTTCCAGCTGCTGATAATAGTTTCTTAACTGCAAACAGAGAATACGGTCGTATTAATTCAGTCGTTCACAAGATAGCACACGATAGAGGGCAGAAGTCAAACTAGACTACACGGACTACTTACTACATATTTCACCCCCTTCTGCTGTAAGGCACTTTCCTTATTTCCTGCCAAAAATAACAATAAAAAAATCACCCAGCTGTTGTCCATTTTCTTAATTTTAAGTTAATTCTGGACCTACAGAAATATGTGAATATAGCATTGGTTTCCATTTGTAGCCAAACGCTTTGCTTGTTATACACTTGAGTGCTTGATTCGATGAACGTTACAGTTTCATCACCATTATGAACAAGAGTTACAGAATATAAGAGCCTAGAAGAGCCTGACCTAAATAGGCTGATGCATTTTAGAAGAAACATAATTAACCAAGTGTTCGTGTGTGTTTATGTGCAGAATAACTTCCCAGCCAGCAGCAAGGCTCGCCTCAGTGACCTCAAATCTACTGTGGATCTTCTCACCAGCATCACTTTCTTCAGAATGAAGGTAGAATCAGCTCAGAGTGTATAATCACTAATAGCACTAAAACCAAACAGATACAACACTGCTGTTATATTAGAAGGTTAGCTACCTTTAATGATGAAGTATTGACTCAAAGTATTAAATGTATTTTATAGATTTTAGCTTGTTTATAGAGCTTATGTAGATGGATGGATAAATAGATGTTTTTGATACACTTTATATGAAATATGCATTCTTTTTTTCCCTTTGTAATCAGGTTGGTAGGGTTGCTGTTGGATTAGGACATCATAGTTGCACTGTAGTGCAGCATGCGACAATTAAAAGCTATACTTTAGCTGTTAGCAGTAGCGCATGGTCAGAGTAGCTAATTATTTTACTTGAATCTCTCTCTTCCAATTATGTCCTTCCATCTATTTTCTTATCATGTTAATTACACCTTCCTCTGTCTCTTCCTCGCTCTCTTGTTGGGAAGGCTGTCCCTCCTGCTACACTTCTCTGTGGCTAGTGCTAGGAACAGCAAGGGCCTTATATTAGTTCTTGCTGGTACTACGGTGCAGCTGCAAACACAAAATTTAAAGCATTGGTAAAATAAAGAAAAGAATGTAAAATACAGTAACAATGTATACTATACGGAAACACTGCACTGCCACCCCACGTCCCCTCTCTGGAGATTATAGCGTCCTGCTTTTTATCAGACAAATTTATATTCTAGATTAATAACATGATAACACTGATATTCACCCACTGTGTTCTGTCTTCCCACTCCAATGCCCGGCCTCACGCAGGTCTTGGAACTGCAGAGTCCTCCCCGTGCAGCCAACGTGGTGCGAGATTGCGTCAAGGCCTGCCTGAACTCCACCTACGAGTATATCTTTAACAACTGTCTGGAGCTCTTCAACCGCCAGTTTCAACCCGCCGTCCAAGCAGTGAGTGGCTAAGTATCGACATGTTTTAAGCTTCCACAACAGATCAATACATCTTCTGGGAAATTTGCAAATGTTTGACTGACAGAAGTGATAATACAACAGTATTTCCCATCAGCTACAGCCAAACCCTAAACAATATGTCTGTTAGAGTGATAGAAAGCAGTAGTTTGCTCTCTATCACTATCCAGTGTTGTATAGTGTTACAAAGATCTATGAGTTACTTTTCATGTGACTACAGTGGTTTCTCCCTATTCTGTGGTTGATTTAACAATATTTAAATAAAGCAAACACCAGATTTAACTCTCAGTTTTTACATCAGCTCCTCAAATTGCAATATTAATCACATTAATCTGCACTGCAGCCTGGTTTAAGTGATGCTCTAATGAACCCCTATCTGTAGCAGCCACAGAAATATTTCCAGAACAAGGGAAATTTTTAACCTTGCCAAGAAAGATTTTTGTATCAGTGTGTCTAAAGTCATTAAACCATTCGAGTTCCTGAATAAATTAAAAATATGTATTAATGGTGTCATTTTCAGCTTCATGGAGTGTACAAAATCTTATCACATAAATATGGAGCAAGAACATTTTTTAAAATGTGTCATATTATGATAAATTATTCATCGAAATTTCAGTTGTCAAGAAAACTTCTGAACTTGTTTTGTTTTCTGCTTCCGTGTAGAACTGAAACGTGTCAGGCAAGTCAATTCTTCCTTTATTTCATATTCTTTTTCACGTATGCAGCCCGAGCCAGACAAGAAAAAGAAGAAGAAGAAGGAGGAAGCAGCGGGTGGTGAGGCTGATGATGATGATGATGAGGAGGAGGATGAAGAAGAAGAGGAGGAAGAGGAGGAGAAGAAAGAGGAGAGTCAACCGGAAGAGCAGGGCCCAAGCATCCAGAATCTGGACTTTTGGCCTAAACTCATCACACTCATTGTGTCCATCATTGAGGAGGATAAGAACTCGTACACACCCATCATTAACCAGTCAGTGTTTTCCTTTTGTCTCCTATATTCTAATTCTGGGAAATGTGTTGTTGCAGAAGTTGTCTTCATGGAGCAGAACTATCAAGTGTATTATATTTTTGAACTTGTATATCTATTGTAATGAATTTTTAAAGACATATAGCACATTTTATTCATACGTAAGCTCATTGTGCTTAACACAAGATAAAAACATAAGAACCTGTGTAGGTTTTGCCTTAAGGCAGTGAAAACAGCTAAAACAAGACTGTTTACTACAAAAGTATAGAAGTATAAAAGATCAACTAGGAACTAAAGGTGGCAGGTATTTTTTAATAAAAAATAATAATAACAAAATAAATAACACTTTTATTGTTGAGCAAACTGTGTGGTCTGTGGAGGTGCTGGATAAAAAAAAAATCTCCAAAACACAAAAGCTTTGTGCGTTGCAATAGAATCTTTTCTTTTGTTATAAACAATCTTTTTATTTTTATTTATTCAGCTATTTTTACTGCCACAAGGCATTGCAAAACCAGGACAAGTCCCAGTAAATCTACTTCTGGTTTGCTATAGATCAATGGAAGTAACATTTAAAAAAAACAACATGGCCAGGGTTGAACCAGAGCTTTTGATCAATAAGGTTTAAAAGTTAACAACATAAAACACTTGCACACTTGCAACTAGTGCAAAATGCTGCGGCACGATTTTTAACTGGCAGAAGGAAATTCGAGCACATCACTCTGATTTTGGCCTCTACATTGGCTTCCAGTTGAATTTAGGATCCGTTTTAAAGTTCATTTATTGGTTTTAAAATCTCTAAATGGTCTGGCACCTGTTTATTTGTCTGACTTGTTGAAGCCCCACGTCCCCACTCGTTCCCTTCGGTCAGCTGAGCAGCTGCTGCTTTCAGTCCCTAAGTCACGGCTGAAACTTAGAGGGGACCGAGCGTTCTCTGTTGCAGCTCTGATGCTTTGGAATAACCTTCCTCTCCATATTAGACAAGCTACATCAGTGCCAGTTTTTAAGTCCTGATTAAAAACCTATTTTTATTCCCTGGCTTTTAACTCTGTGGGTAACTGACATTTTTTATTAATTTTATTGCTCTGTCTGGTTTTTGCTATTTTATTCCTATATTTATATTTGTATTGTTCAGCACTTTGGTCTGCCAGGTGTGTTTTTAAAGTGCTATATGCATAAATGATGGTGATGATGATAAAACCAACAGGTTTTAAAAACTAGACAGTGGGATTGTTTTCTTTTGCTGTAAACCTGCAAGTATGGCTCGTCTGTGAAGCACTTTGTTGTACCTGTGACTTTTAAATGTGCTATAGAAATAAAATTGAAATTGGAAATTGAAATCTGTGGGTGCTACTAAACTCAAATAACTATTTTTTGGTCAGTTGTTAGCTTGGATTAGAGCTTAACACAGATATTGTGTTCAAGTTGAGATATTAAATGATATCCTGGATAAACCCCCAATCGTATAATGTTTGGGCTCAGTGAAGCATAAGCAAAGTAACAGCAGCCAACCAGATGATCAAGACAAGTTTAAAGGGTAACATTTAACATTTCCAAAAATCCTTCAGATTCCAGTTACACTGGAAGGGAAAGGGGCTGCAGTGACCCCCATTACTTGCAGAGTAACGAGTATTTTTACTGTCTTACTTCTTTATTCCTCCAGGTTTCCTCAAGAGCTCAATGTGGGTAAAGTCAGCGCAGAGGTCATGTGGATGCTCTTCGCTCAAGACATGAAATATGCCCTAGAGGGTAAGACTATATCTTTGCATACTTGGACAGTATATGTGTGTGTGACAGAGACATCTCAGAGAAACCAACTCCTCCTTCTTCCCTTCTGCATTCACACTGTCTTTTCTTCAATCCATCATCTCCTTCAGTGTTGGATAAGATTGACCACTACCACTGGAAAAATGGTGAGATTAGAGATAAAAATATGGAGATACAGTCAGAAAAGTCAGTAATCGGGATTCCAGAATACGGTTAAACATCTCCTGAGACCATTTCTATAAAAACATGTTCAAACCTCTCAGCACTGAGCTAAAACACACTGACAGTAAGCATCAGCGAGTAAGAATGTTCATTGTAATATCAAATAAAGTGTGTGCAAAGTTCTGAGACTGTTGCTGATAAGGGGAAAATACAGGAAGCAGGTGTTAGTGTTTAACATTTTTAGAGCTGAATTATTGATATTTTTATAACATCAGTGATTTTCCCAGGAGCCTCCACTTTAGAAATGTGTGGACTCTAGTTGGGTTCTTTCAAGATAAGTGCATATAGGTTAGTCATCATAACGAGCTAACTTCGCTACCTAACAGTCAGCTGAGATCTGCTTTGCTGCTCAGTATTCTGACTTTTGATTGTGTCTCACGTCAGACTTGTAGAAACTGTAAAAGCTAGTGTCCTAAAACACATCGCCTGAGCAGGTGTTTAAAACTTGGCTGTGACCCTGTGTGTTGAGTTTAGAGGATTTGTTTTTAGTTTTGTAGTTGTTTCACAGCAACAAAGAGAAACTTGCGAAAAAGTAGACTTTAGTAGCAAATTTGGCTGGTGGCTGGTTTTCCAGCCTTCTGTTTTGTGCGTAGTGTACTTTCCAGCTCCTCCAGTATTTTTCTTCTAACATGTTTTTCTGAAGCCGTTCTCATCTCAGTTATTGCTGCCACAAACTTGCTTCTCTTTCAGTTTCTATTCTTATTGCTTTTGTCATATTTCTGTTGCCATCTCAGCTCCCGCTACATTTCGTATCCGCAAAGTTGACTTCTACGCTGGTAAGAGTGTGTGTGTGATGTGTGTGTGATGAGTGTGCATGTACGCATTTCTTTTGTCTTCAATAGTTTCCTAAGGGTTTTTTTTTTTGCACCAGTAAAACTTATTTAACTGCATTTATCTTTTACTTAATTAAATTAGAACAAACATTCTCCCTTTATTCGATCCATGTGTGTACATCCTTCTTCATAAATGATGCAGATGTTGTTTCTCTGTATAATTTATCCATTTTTTTTAGGAGTGAGACAATAACGGAGAAAAACGACTGCATCAACTTGCAATCGTGAAAACCAAACTATTAGCCTAGTGGACGTATTACACATGTGTAGCAGTCTGAGTATTGGAGTTTTGTTTAATGGTAAAAAGTGTTGATATGAAAAAAGCAGGCATCTCCACGTTCAACCCGGTTACCTCAAAAACAGCTTATAACAGTTTATAATACTGGTATAATTATTAATGTTCAACATGTTATCAAATGATCTGTAACGTAATCAGTGTGAGGACTAGGGATAGGTATCGTTTAGGTTTTATCCAATACCGGTGCCAAACCGGTACTTTTGAAACGGTGCCGGTGCTTAAACGTGCTCGAACCGGTGCTTAAAGAATGGAGAACACAAACTTGGTCCAAAAACCTCTCATGTTCAGCTGTTTTTTGTAAAAAGATAACAATGTTAGCCTTTTCTGCAGCTATGGGGCATATATGGTATCACTCTTGGCTGGAAGCAGTGCTTAAACAATGGAAAAAACACAAACTTTGTCCATAAACCTCTCATGTTTAGACTGTTTCCACTTTTTCTTTGGTCATTTTAGCCTTTTTGGCCAGGGTGAAGGGAGTATCTGCCATCAAACAAGAAGACAGCCGCATGTAGCTATGATGATGTTTGCTAGTTCACCTTACATGCATTAATGTAATAACGTGGTTAGCCTACTCAACGTAAATTACACACGAACAACATTAAGCTACTCACGCAGAGAAGAACGGCTGCTGCTGCATCATCATCCTCATCATTTCTGCTACACTGGCAGGGCTAGGGGCCAGGACTCTCCTCTTCGGGTTTTTGGGGGATGTTGCTAACTCCGGGTCCGATAACAGGCAACCCACCCGCAGTAGATGTGTATCAAAATCCTCATAGATTTTAAACCTGTCTTTACTTTGGCTGTTGTGGCTGTTGTTTTTTGCAGAACATGAGAAGCATAAGCTCTGTAAGACTGCTGACTACATGAACCTGCACTTTAAGGTCAAGTGGCTGTACAACGAGTACGTTAAGGAGCTGCCTGCCTTCAACGACGCTGTGCCAGAATACCCTGCGTGAGACCGTGTTTTCTCTCTCATTATTTCTCCTTCAGACAAAGGAGAGCTCTTGTTGATTGATTTTTCTGACTTTCCAATTAGATTTGGTGTGATGTTGCATACCAAACACACTCGAAGCATTTCTCTCTGGGTTTTGACACTAGAAATATGGAGGTATAATAACATTAGCCAGAAGAGTTATCAGCGAGCACATTTTTTTCCCAATGCTCTGTTTCACAGTTTAGATAACCAAAATTCAATAGGTTCACGGAGAAATGACCTTTTAATACAAAGGCACAAGATGTTTTTACACTTAAATATTTCTGTTCTACAAACTCTAACATGTGGATGTAAAATATAAAACGCCAAACAAATCAGGTAAATTAGAACTGCAATGAAATGAATTTTGGACAGATGAGCTTTGAAAACGTTTTCAATCTGCAAACGTTCCAGTTTTTCAGGCTGTCAAAGAGAAGATTAAACTTTGTTTAGCTTTGTCTGTTTCCTATTATTCCTTCAGATGGTTTCTCCAGTTTGTCCTTGCCTGGCTCGCTGAGAACGAGGAGGTATCCATGGAGTTTATGCATGGAGCGCTGGAGAGAGACAAGAGAGAAGGGGTGAGTCAGAGACTCGGGAGAAATTATTCTGTTTGCTGAAAGTTGTCACGTCATCGTGAGCAAAACAAAAGTGTCACAGACTCCTTTGAATCAGCAACAAGTTTATCGTCAGAGCTCTCTGTTAGAGTCTGAATGAAGACGTACGCAGGGAAGAGGAGGTAGTGCTCGGTCAAACACAGGATTTTAATCCAGAAGAGCTCATTTCATGTCATGTTTGAAGAAATCTTCGGGGTGGGGGTGGTGGAGTATCAGCAGGCTGGCTGTGATGGGCTGATCTGGCTAAAAAGCCCATTGATTATGTAAACATAAACCAGTGTTTTACCAGCATCATTTTTGACTTTTTGTTAAGTGGATGAATATTTTTTTTAAAAACACAAACTGTTTAATAATCTGTGGATGCATAAAAAGCGAGACAAAAACGTCATCTTGCAGCTCTGATCCTGATCTTGCTTTTTTTCCACGTCATTGTCGTGATGCTCATGGTCAAAAATCCGATGTGTGTGTGCTCTACTTTTATCAGTCTGGGCTGCAAAACCAACCGTATTATTTTTGTTGCTGCTGTTTTTGAACAAAGGCTTACGTCAGAGCTTTTAGCCTTACACGGTTTCGTTGTGTCAAGCCTCACTGTCAGCCCCCGGTCCCTTAGAGATCTCCCACACTGTCCTTAGCTGAAAGTCAAAGCGCTGAGGCTTCGGGCACGTTCGAGTATCTGGGCTGAGCACTGGCACAGCGTACACGTGGGTTCCAGCCTTTATTCAGGTGTGCTTCTCGATAAACACATTTGGCACTCCTGTTTGTTTGTGGGGAGCTGGTGGGAGGAGATGTTATTGCTAGTGAAGCCATGTGAACTGATGATGTGCGGACATTATGAACGTCATGGCTACGCTTTCTAAATAAAGGTATGCGTACGTCTCTGCGTGTAATAAAAAAGAGAGATTTTTAGTTATGCATTCCTTGTTTTTCTTGTCAGTTTCAACAACGTCGTTATCCGAGCATCAAAAACTGTCCTCTTTGAAGAAAATGTATAATTTCACTCTATAAAGTTTCAGTGAACGTTTCTGTATTTCCTGTAAATTGAATCAGAATTGAATCATGGGAAACGGGAACGATTTGCTGGCTTCTCGCTCGTGAAAATGAAACGTTATGTTTGTGATCTCGTCCATTATGAGCGATATTACTTTACAAGGTTTGCCTAAATGTGATAAATTTATGTTTTCTTGCCATTTGGACACTGCTGAGGTCACAGTGCTTACATGGGGCAGAGGAGGGGATGTGAGATGCAAAGTGGAAGGTGACGCACATCCTAAAAATAAAAAAGCACAAATATAAATGACTCCAGAAGTTTCAGACATCCTGATAAAAGATCGCATGAAAGCTGCTAAAATGTGAGCATTTCTGTTGCAGGTTGTGCCTGTGATTTAAAATATATATTGTCAGGCTGTTGTTAAAATAAACCTACAAAACAGCACAAGCACATCTAATATCACATAACAGATACAACCTGATTGTGCTTGATGCGCCCAGCAGCTGAGAGCACAGAGGAAGAGTTGTTGATCATGTTGTTGTCATGGCACCAGAGTGCAACCGCAGTAGAAAAACGATGCAGTAAAAAGGAAAGCTTTCTGCAGTAATGACAGAATAAAAGACCGCTTCAGACTCGTGACCTTTTGTTCAAATTCTCCCTTTGGTTCCTTCTGCTTTTGGACAACTTTTCGTAGATTAGAAGAATGATGAACAAGTGTTTGTCTGCCTCCTGTTGGTCCCCAAGCTGCACTCTGCCATCCTATTTGTTGGTTTATTGTACTAAGACAGCTATTGTGTGTCCTAAAGGAGGTTTGGCCCTTTTTGTGGCCTGAGCAGGTGGTTATTTTCAGTCATGCTCACACGGCTTGGTCTGCATGTGCATTTTCAAACATCAAAAGAGGACAACTTTAGCAAAGATTAAACGTTTAGATACGTTTTTCTCATTTTATCTTGACTCATAAAAATCATTAAGAAAGTGGTAAAAATGGAGCATAGAGGTTACATAGTTGCAGGTGGATGTGATGTTGGAGCTGAACCTTTTGTGGAGTATATAAGATGCAAAAGAGCAATACATCGAAAAGGGATGTAGGTTTAATATTAGTATTTGAAGAATACGGTACATTAAATGAGAGAAGGGGAGGACGTACGAGTCAGCAAGGAGGAACACAGCGTAGGGAGACTGTTTGGTTTTTTTTATTTATGTCAAAGTAAAAAAATGTCCTGTTGTTCCTCTGTCTGCAGTTTCAACAGACATCTGAGCATGCTCTGTTCTCCAGCTCGGTGGTGGACATCTTCACTCAGCTCAATCAGAGCTTTGAGATTATCAAGAAACTGGACTGTCCTGACCCCACGGTGGTGGCACATTATAACAGACGCTTTGCCAAGGTGAGCCCCGTGCCTTTGTTTAGAGCCCATTTTGTAACTTCGGTCTCTGCAACACTGAAAAACATCTCAGATCTGACAGCATCTTAGTTTTTTATTCATTTCTCTGTTTTCTGCTGGCTAAACGCGAACATATGCAGAGGCCATGTCTCACATTAGGAGCATATTAAAACATCCAAAACAACAGAACTACTGTTGATAGGTCAGGTTACTCTTTAAGAGAGCGCTTTACAAAAATACTCACTGGCTCTTACCTCTAGTGCAGGCGTATCACGCATGCAGCCAGTGAGGCCAGAATCATCCCCCCGATGGTTCTAATGAGGCCCAGTTTGAAAATGTGAAAACTGCAAAAGAAGAAAAGCAGTAAAACTGAATTTTTGTCAGTTTATAAAACATCGAGCATGGCCTGTCATAACTGGATAATAAACTACTGACAGAAATGAAGTTTAAACAAGAGTAAACGTAATTTACTCTAAATTAACAGAATATTTCTGTTTAATTAAATCCAGATAATGAGCTAAAAGTGTTTTTTCTATAATTTTCCTCAGTAATTTCTCAAAGGGGAAGCCCTTCTAATAGGTTTCTGTACATTTCTGGAGTATTGCAGCAGCAGAGTCGGTTCACTTCAGGCACGCTTGCACTTGGGGAAATACGTAGAGATGATGACCACTAGCTCAGAGTGAAACCAGAATATTTGCTGCACTATTTGCACTTTAGTGTAATCTGATATAGCACAGACTTAGGAAGCTCACAGGTTCAACAGCGACTGTTCTCTCATGCTCAGAGATGCAGTGTGAAAAAGCTTCATATTTGCTATATCCTTTCAAGTATTTGAATTTCCCTGCACCTCACTGCTCATAACACACACATTTTCTGTTTTGGATATTTGGACAAGTTAAAGTGGGATAGTGGGTCGCGTGGATTGATCAGTTAATCGAGAAGATCATCTGACTCTATTCAAAAGCATCAGCCTTTTTAGAAGACTGTTTCCTCCTTTTATAATCTAGTAAAACTGAATTGTTTCTGAGTGATTTCAAGACAGAAATATTAGCTGCTTTAGCTCCAGCTGTCCCCGATACATCATACAAAGGCAAGAGGTTGTATAAATGTAGACATGAGGAGGAAAATTGTATGCAGAAGGCTTTGAGATCAGAATTTTCTTGCTCTTAAAGAATTTCATGTCTATTTCTTTACTAGCATGTGACTCTGGTATGCAGTTGTTTGTTTGGAGTTTTTCATGACTGTATCCATCAGTGGTGCAGAGGTGAGATTCTTTACCTGAAAGTTCCTGCTCGGTGCAGCTTTAGACCATGACTCCTACTGAGGTCTTTACTTGATCTTCTTTGTTCAGTCTCTTGAATCATTTCTAACTCACTAACGAGTTTCAGGTATTTCTCTGTAAAACGTACAAACAGGGCATAAAGTGTAGGGTTATGTTTTTTCTTGAAATGTAATTTAAGGCAGGTCCTTTTAAGCAGAGCCGTTCAATCTAACAAACCTCTGCAGAGAAACTGTGTGTGCGCGCGTCTGGTGTTATGGCTCGATCGATGCGGGACTCATTAAATAAAGAAAGGCTAATGTAAGCCATCACTCTGAGCTGTCCATCTCTCTGTCCCCGACCCTTGACTCGCTTTTCATTTTGTGCCGTTCCGCTCATGTTAATCTCCTCCTGAGTCTTTTCATCTCTACCCATCCCATCAATCCTGGGACTCTTGTCTTTTGTGTTCCTACTTTTCCGTCTACGTCTGCCTTTATTTCTTCGTCACCCTCCAGTTTCACATCGTTCTGCTTTCCTATGCAAGAAACAATAATTAGAGTTTGTTTTTAAAAGTGTGAGGAAAGAGAGACGGCTGCAGAACTTGAGTGATATAAAGCCGCACTAAGCAGTGCAGGCAGCTATCAAGCTGCATATTTAATGCTATAGTTTGTAATCTTGCTGAGTCAGCAGAAAGTAGGGAAATCTCTCACAGTGAGCCCACGGTGCTGTGAGGCACAACTTACCACTGTGATGATGACAAATTAACTCTGTGATTTATTTAAAAGTGCCCTGTTGAGTTTTTATTGCAAGCAAACATGTCATTCTTTGTTTCCCATCAAAAAGCAACCAGTTTGCTGGCTGGACATTATAAATGTTTTCTTCACTTCTTCTAGAAATATTTTTTCAGCTTTTATTCATGCAGGGCGTCTTCATCGAGCACATTACAGAGTCCAGCTGTGTGCTGAAGAGTATAAAGCTCATGCAAATCTCATGTCTTTCCTTTGATAATTATGTGTTTTCTCATATAAAGGATGCGATAACAAAACAACAAACATGCAGTGAGGCCAGTGATTGACAACTGCACACATTTTAAAAGTGCTTAAACAGAGGAAGAGTGCTTCTTTACGTCTCTGATTAATGAGCAGCGATTTTCTGCAAGATCTTCCAACAGCTGACGGCACTGTGTGCATCACACAATGTCACATGAACTCTGACACATTGTTTCATTTATATTTGCAAATTATATAATAAGATATTAATATTTGGTGTTCCTGTATCAATACAATATTGGCATGCAAAATATCACAGTGCAGTGTGAGTGACTTTCCAGTGCTTGGGCAGAGCCTACTGGTGGCAGCTATTCTCAGGTGGGCTCATGAAAGACATCACACAGATGTAGTGTTATTATGAAGCGGGCGCCGTGAAGACTGTTTAACGGCTAATCACGCAAAATATGACATTTGGCTTCTCACTGGAAGCTTCTGCATTAGCTCAGATTTCCATGACTTACACATATCCGGTGTGACAACAGTTAAGTGTCATCAAAGGTAAATGAGTCAAACACGATGAGGCATCTTCTTTATTGTCTTTAACATTAGATTAGCTCGTGTTGTCCTGAAACTACACGCAGCTCTTTAAGGCAGACAGACTGACATTTTCAGTTAGCACAGTGCGAGTGTCTGATGCTACCTGAGTTCAAACAGCAGTGCTCTCAGCTCGCCAGACTAAAAGGCTAAACATCAGTGTTCAGCGTCACTCTTCACTCCAGAGGATCCCAGGGAAAGCATGTCTTATGTGAGTGTTATCTTGTTTCCACAGACGATCACCAAAGTGCTCCTGCAGTACTCTGCTCTGCTGGCCAAGAGCTTTCCCTCCTACTGTGAGAAGGAGAAGATAGTGAGTACTGCTGCGTCACCACTCTGCTACCACAACACCTCCCTCAGGGCTCATCTCTGATTTGGAGGGAGACACTTTGAAAGCTAGTAAACTCTCTTTGGAGTGGATTAATATTTCAGTGGTTGCTACTTACTCATCTAACTTCAGTCTTTAATCTTCCTGTCATCGCCCTTTTATCTTGCTAATCTACTTTCATTTTATATTCTTGACTTTTCCTCTTTTTTAAAATTCATCATTTATGTTTGGTCTGCTTACAAACGCTGCCTCCCTGATTTATCTTCCTCCAGCCGTGCGTGCTGATGAACAACATCCAGCAGATGAGAGTCCTTTTGGAGAAGATGTTTGAGTCCATGGGAGCAAAACAGGTGAGCATTAACAGGTGTATGCACACACACACACACACACACCAAACCCTAAAGTTTGTAAACCATCTGCCAGGCAGACACTGATTTCAGTCACTTAAAAGGTCAAAATGCTGATTTAAAGACTTTTCCATGAAGTACATGACTGAAAAATGCCAGAAAAAACACTTTTTTCTGTTCAGAAGTGTGAATGAGAAAAATGGTAAATGGATTTGGTTCTTCTATAGCGCTTTTCTGCTCTTGCTGAGCACTCAAAGCGCTTTATACAACATGCCTCATTCAAACAAACACTTTTTTCTATGCTTAAGTGTTTTCTCTCTAACATTCGCACCCTGATGGATGCATCACAGAGCAGCTTTGGGTTAGTATCTCGCCCGAGGATATTTGGCATGCAGAGTGGAGCGGCCAGGGATCACCATTGTTCCAATTAGTAGATGACCTGCTCTATCTCCTGAGCTACAACACCTGTGCAGAACAGAGTGTGTTACAAACGTAGGTTGACCGAACAGACAAAGGGGAACCTTCACTTTACAAACTTAAATTAGGTGCACACTGCAGTCGAATGTTGTCAGCATTCCAGTTCCAGTCATACTCTGCAGTGCGGCTCAAAAAGCACATAGGACGAAGGTTTAAAAATCTATCACTGATGCACTGAAAGCTCTACGAGCCACAAAGAAATCCATTTTGTCTGTTGGTGTGTTGAAGTCCACTGCTGGACCTATTTGGGTCACCTCCCCGTCCTCCAGGTGTGACCTGATTTCTATAATGAACCCATTTGGTATGTATTTGGGTTCATCAGTCACCACGAGGAGAAGCAGCAGAGCCGAACCTTCTGTGGATGCAGGAATCTTTCCTTCTGCTGAGCCTGTGATTGTAGTTTCAAGGTGTAAAAAATACAAAGGTGCAAAAGCTGCAGCAAGTGTGAGCCTGCATGTATATAATCACAGATTTAAGAAAGCGAGAGTTAAGTGTGTGTCTTTTTTCCTGCAGTTAACAGCTGAGGAGGAGATGGTATGTCTCAGTGGGTTTTTGTTTTTGCTTTGCTTCCCTGTGGCTCCACCTCCACCCAAAACGATCTGTTGAGTACAGTAAAACCCACTCCACACCTCTTTCCTGTCATCAAACCTTTTTCCACCTTGCAGTGCGTGTGTCTGTTTTTAGATTGATCCCAATTTACTCATAAACAAGAGCTAGAGCTTCCTCTCCTTCTTCCTTGACTCCCAGTTTTCACTCCTCAAAATAAACTCCAGCTGATATAAATGATGTAGATGTGTGTTTTTAAAAAAACAAAACGTTCTCTTCGTGGTGTTTTTTCTCTCGAAAGCTTGAGAATGAGGAGGAACCCGATGAGTGTGATGAGGAGGAGGTGGGTCGACTTCTTTTTGACTGGTTTGATTCGTTTCTGTTCCCCTGTTGTGTCCGACTGCCGTCGTCAGTGTGTCGTTGCTTTTTTCTGTGAAAGTCCAAATATTTAAAATATAATTATTTTTATTTTTTAATTTAAGATGATTCGAAAAAAGCCCAGTTTATTTTTATTTTCAGGTTGTGAAGGTTTTTCGATGGGAACAACACAGTTTAAATCAATGGAGTTTACAGCTGTTGCTCATTTTTAACAGTTGATGGCTCTAGTCAGGCTTTTATATGAACAAATAATATACATAATAAACAAACACTTTAAATACACTTACATATTAAATAAAACGATAAATTAAATGGGAAACGTTTAGCCGGATGACCTATAGACAAGCAAAAATCCCAAACTGACAGTTATAGTTCATTATCCATGTCCTTACTAAACCATAGCGGAGGATTATTTCCTGGTGAGATCGTTCCTTTGTGGGTTTGTCGTTTTCTTCTTTCATATATTTTATGCACTTTCTTTTTATTTCCTTATGATATTTGGACCAGGCTGTCTCTGACAACGAAGGCGGCGATGACATGGTGGGTAGGCCACAACAGCAGATAAAAAACACTCCTGAAATCTACTTTAGTCTGTTTTTAATATTATAAAATGTTACTTGTGTTTTTAAATGACCGCATTTGTGTGGGTTTGATCCTTTTTGCTAACAGTCAGAGGAGACCAAGGTGAGATAAGGATTCTAGGTCACAGCCAATATTTCATATAGCTTCCTCAAATGTCCTTTTGTTTCTCTTATTTGTCTCATTTGACCTCGTTTTCTTATGTTTCTGTTTCTATTTTAATTTGTCGATGGCACCGTTAGTCTGGCTGCTCAGACTCTGAGGGATCTGAGGTAAGGAGGAGAATATCACACTCTTCCTCAGAGCTGCGATGATATTAAAGTAGAAATCTGTGTGAGATAAAAATGGGAGATTTGACTGCTGTTAACAGAATCATCACATTCAGTTCTGACGAAGTAGACTCAATCGCTGAAACTGCAGTCGTTAGTTTGATGTCATGCAGAATCAATGTGACGGGAGACAAAAACACAGTTTCAGAACAAGCTCGGGTGTAATATTTGAAAGGTGCGAACGCACAGACTGTATATAAAAGACGGATGGAGTTGTCATCTGAAAAGCCTTTAAATTCCTAAAACTGCCGCTCTGTATATTGACCAGCAGGGGGCGACTCATCTCGATACAATGCACTTGATCTCTGACCCCAGTAAAGCCTTGATGATTTTAGTCTCTGTCAGTATTTCCTATATTACCATTTATACAGTCAAATACACTCACGCCCATTTCATTAGGTACACTTTGCTAGTACTGGGTTGGACCCTGTTTGGCCTTCAGACCTGCTTCAGTGTTATCCAGATTCAACAAGGGGTTGAAAGCATTACTCAGATTTTTGTCCTTAATGATCCATAATTTGGTCTCCGATTCCACCACAGCCCAAAGGTGCACTGAGATCTGGTGACTGTGGAAGGCCATTCACAGAGAACTAATTTCACGTTCAAGTAACCGGTTTGAGATGATTTGAGCTTTGTGATGTGGTATGTTTCCCTGCTGGAAGCCACCACGGTGGACATGAACGCCCAAATTATGAGCTCACCATCCAAATATAGCAACCATCCAAATGAGACACATCAGACCAACCAACACTATTCTTCTGTTGACCACTGTTGAGGAGTCCGTGTGTCCTGTAGCATCACTTTCCTGTTCTTAGCTGACAGGAGTGGACAGTGTGGTCTGCTGCTGCTGGTTCAACATGTGCCCCTATGCTCTTCTGTATACCTTGGTTGTAATGAGTGGCTGTTTGAGCTAGTGTTCAATTTCAGTCTGCTCAAACCAGTCTGGCTTTTCTCCTCTGACCTCAACAAGGCCTGTGTGCTGTCAACAACCATGCCACAGTCAGCTTTCTTTCAGACTTTGATGCTCAGTTTGAGCTTCAGCAGGTTGTCTTGACCACGCCCACATCCCTAATTGCACTGAGTTACTGCCATGTGATTGGCCGATCCGAGGCTTGTCTTAACAGGTGTACCTAAAAATGCAACCAGTGAGTGCAGGCAGTATAGCCAGCTGGTTTTAGGGCTCGCATGAGATTCAGTGTCCTCAGGATCTCAGATCCACTCCTAGTTTATCACTCTGACTACAAAATAAAATATTTTTTAAAAAACAACCAAATTCCTGAAAACATGATTCTGGCAGCTCCATCTTTTATATACAGTCTTCTGTAGTTTTTAATCTGTCAGAAAATTGTGCTTCTTCCTAAATACTTGTGATAAATCCCTCCGCAGACGTGATGCCAAAATATTCATTAAAGCCTTTGATACCACATGCTGGCAAAGCTCTTTACACATTTACAGCCGTGTCCTAACGCAGACTCCTTCCTCTCCCCTCCAGTGAGTACATAATAGACCAGACAGTGGGCTGCCAGATAATTGAATTTGATGGAGTATAAACATGTTGTATTTAGCCGCCACTAAATGGTTTGCTGAAATGACTTTGATAGTCAGCTCAGTGTGTGTTTTGTGTATGTGTCCATGTCTGAGGGAGCTGTTTTCTTTGTGGCACAGGGTAGCGTGTCAGAGGTGAGGGAAGGCTGGATAAAGTCTGTCTCGGCTGATATCTTCAGTGTCCCAACCTCAGTCAGCCGGCAGTGTGTCTGCAGGGCAGCATGCTGCATCATTATACTAAGATTTAGGTCGAGGATGTAAAAACAGCTCAAATCCAATGATGTTTATATTAGTTTTATGACTTTTTGATTCTTGGATCACCCAACCTTAAATTTTTATTAAAGGATTTCCTTCCTTATGAAAAAGGAACATTTTTCTGATAGCTCATACTCGTTATAATGATAAAACCTTCCTTTTCCTTTCCTATTTATCCTCTCCTGACTCCTCCTGCTCACTCTTAGGCTGACAACCGAGAGAAGGAGAAAAAGGTCAGTTTGTGCATAATGACCGTGTGTTTATGTTGGAAATCAGGCCTTTGTGTTTTATAAACTCCTTCACTCATCACTTTTTAGTTTGATTAGAAGTTACAATCAAAAAGTTCCACCTGTTCAAATCAAGTATCATTTGGCTACGATTCCCTGCAAATTTCCTCGTCTGCTGCTCCTGCTAGGTTTGTTTTTTTCATTGTGCCCCTGAGTTTCCTGTGTGGTGAGTCTCCGACACCAAAGCAAAGACTCTTCATTATGATTTTTTTTTGGGGAAGAGAAAGAACATGTAGGGAACAAGATCTGACTAGTATGGCAGGTAGTGAGAGAAGTCGACCAACCTTTTCAGTTTGCTGTGAGTGGTCACACGTTTGCATAGTACAGGTGTATTTACACTGACTGTTCTAACTCGGATACCTCAGGAGGTTATAGTAGACAGTTTGACCCCGTGTGACAAACAACATGGTGCACAGCCCCGTGGAAGTCATATTTCTGGTCACACGCTTCACCTGCTGCAAAGCCTTCAGGCTCTTATACTGAAAACTTCATTTTGGTCTCTGAGTTGTAGCTGGAGACCCGACTGACTTCTCACAACACAAATTCTGGGTTCATTTTATTTGAAATACATGTGAAATCACAGACGCACTTGCAGGTGGTCAGAACA